GACCTGACCGTTGGAAGGAATTTAAGGCTAAAACTTTCCTTGTTTGGAAGTCAACAGCCAAAACAACGATGTAGGGATTTTAGACATCGCTGTTGGCATGACCGTTGCTTCCCATTTTTCAAAACGCTAGCCTAGAACAGCGATGTCCAGGCCTAGGACAGCGCTGTCTGGGTGAATTTCAGCAGATCCAAATTTCATCAAATCCCACAAATTGTGCCAATCACCCCTTAAATACTTTGGTCCGTTGGAGCCTATATATCGGATCTTTGATTATTAATTTAAAAAAATGAGTTACATGAGAAAGAAAGAATTCGTAAAAAGATAAAGAGAGAAAGATCCCTAGAAATAAAAATTTTATATCCATAAACAAAGATCCATCGAAAATCATCTCGACGGCGTAGAGATGGAGAGAGCGAGACAAGCGAAAGGCGGAAAATGGAGCGAGTGATTGAGAGAGAGATTCCGGTTTTGGTCGGTTAGCTAGGGTAGAAAATATATTTAAGTTTTATTAGTGGGCTTGGTTGAAGGGTTGTAGTGGGCTAGTTTTATACATTTGTGCTGGTGGATTAGTTTAAAATAATTTTTTTGTAAGGGGCTTTAATGGGCTGATTGGTTTAATTATATTCAATTCCGACCCACTTTAGCTCGGGTTTGGGTTTAATTTTGACGAATCAATTTTGAATATTTAAATTTTCAATTCAGATTCAGTTTAAGATTTAATCGGGTTGGTTGCGGTCAAATAGGACCATTTTTTATTATTTTATTTAACATGTTTATAAACTTATTTTAATAAAATTCTATTTAAAATAATATATTTTTACAAATTCTAAATTATTGTATTTATTGCACAATTAAAGCATGAACTGGAAATTTTGAGAGTTCATGTTAGAATTCAAGTGCAAGAGTAATCGAGACTCTGATTTTATGGAAAAGTGTTGAAAATGCTTTAGCGTACGTGGTCATCTATCATGCTTACAAATTGGTAACGTGTGTTGAAGATTATTTTTTATTAATATTTTAACGATCATTATGTTCTTAATTTAATACTCCGTATTTCACTATGATGCTTTTAGGCCTAAATGTTAGCTATTTTTCTTTGTAAGGTACTAATAGTGTTGGAAAGTATTCTATATGTAATGTATCCGGCATGCTCTTTTGATGAATTTTTAGAATGTTAACTATTTGTATGCC